TGCCAGGCCGGTACCGGCACCGCGCGACACTTGCCAGGCCGGTACCGGCACCGCGCGACACTTGCCAGGCCGGTACCGGCACCGCGCGACACTTGCCAGGCCGGTACCGGCACCACGTGACACTTGCCAGGCCGGTACCGGCACCACGTGACACTTGCCAGGCCGGTACCAGCAAAGGATACAGATTTGCACCGATGGTGGAGACATGCAACAAAGAATTGGCGACGTTTTCAGCATCAGGAGCGGACAAAGTTCCGGCAGCGTTACTTAAGATGTGTGTCGGAACATTGATGACGCGGTTCAAAATGCTCTGGAAAACCTCGTTGATGGAAGGACTCAGATTTAGCATTAGTATTATTATATAAGCGGAGCCAATGATCACACTTTTTTATTTAGCGCTCCCCTGTCTGTGGTACTGCAGCCAGCTTTGGGCCACTCTAGGCAGGTGCTGTGCGGTAAATTTGGGTCGTTCAGCGGATCAGCGGGATGCGTGATATGCGTTACTGGGACTGGTAGGAGCATCTGGGATATATTCACTTCAATGAAGCGCAGGTAATTGTGACTTTTGTTTATATTTAGCATGAAACACAGTTTTTTCAAGTTGTGAAGTTTTGAAGAAGGGCCGAGCGATGTTCAGCAATTATAGCCCGGATGTGACTTGAACGCAAATTTGGTGTAGAAAACCGTGAGAGCGAGTTTGTTTCTAGTTCGGAATGGCCGAGGGTTTGGAAAGGGTTCGATATTAAATCGAAACTGTCGCGGCGTTCCTTGGTAAGCTTATGTGTGCACGACGTCTATTTTAGTGACGTAAACTAATAGATGCTCAACTTCGATTGTGTTCGAATTACCCTTTTCATGTACTAGAGATTTTTTGTTAAAATAGGATGTGACTTTTATTTTCCAATTTAATAGCAAATGTACCTGAGTTTCATTGTAACCCTATCTCTGTACGATTATTGCCGTAACCTATTTCATACGAGAACTTATATATACGCTGTTACTTCTAGTGAAACCTAAGACGCTACGGACGCAACCTGTCAAAATCAAAGCAATTGATGATCAATAATAAAATTATAAAAATTAAACCAAATCTTTCAATCGTATAAATTTAATAACCTATCCACACTGGAGAGAAGGGAAAGGTGGAAGATGAAAACCGGACCGACCCCAACAAAAGTGAGACCTTCAGAATAGTGACATCATAACGAAAGAAGGGAGAGACTGCAGGATACCCTCTTTCAAGAACCACGATGCGGCCAGAGTTCATACTCTTCTGGAGGGATCTTTTTGCGAAGCGAGACCGAGTCTGTTAAACGCCTAGCCGAAAGAGCCAAGAGGAGGGGAGTTCACCCTTGCGGCATTCAGAGACGACTGGATGCGTTCTTGAGCAAGATCCCTGATCGTCCGGTTATGGGCCATTACCCTCGGAGAGTACGGTAGCGAGCAACAGTATACTACATCAGCTGACACAGACGAGGGTAAAAGCGCGGTGGTTACTTTAACGTTCCCTCCGGGCTCTGGGGACAGGCGACCTGCCTACCGACGGACAGTGACGAAGGCGGCGCACCAGCATGGCCGGCCAAACAGTAGGTACTAAACTCAACACAAGGATATAAGGTACGCACCTGTGGTGGTGAGGGCAGTTGGTGGGACGACGGAGAGGCGGGCGGGGCCGAGAGGGCAGCGAGGGGAGTANGGCGGGCGTGGCTAGTTTGGTACCAGTTGTGCTGGCCTGCGAGCACCGCCTGCACCTGGTCCATACCCTGCCAATGAATAGCATACATTTTAGTATGAATAAATTTACTAGCCTTATATGTGAATAACCTTACTAGCCTCATGTTTGAATAAATTTACTAGCTTTATTTGTGAATAACCTTACTAGCCTTATGTGTGAATATTGAATAACCTTACTAGCTTTATGTGTGAATAACTTTACTAGCCTCATGTGTGAATATTGAATAACCTTACTAGCTTTATGTGTGAATAACTGTACTAGCTTTATATGTGAATAACTGTACTAGCCTTATGTGTGAATAACCTTACAAGCTTTATATGTGAATAACTGTACTAGCCTTATGTGTGAATAACTTTACTAGCCTTATGTGTGAATAACTTTACTAGCCTTATGCTGTCTCTTATACACATCTAGATGTGTATAAGAGACAGGACCTGAGTGGGGAAGGAGTAGACCAGAGTGAGTGGGGAAGGAGTAGACCAGAGTGAGTGGGGAAGGAGTAGACCAGAGTGAGTGGGGAGTGAGGGGCCAGGTAGCAGGAGGCAGGCAGTGTCGCGTGTACGGCGCAGTTCAGCGCCGCGCGTCCCTTTAAAGGCGACGAGTTCGCTCCGACGAATATCACAGCGCTCAGCAACATCGAGTATATATCGGTGGTAACATGTGCAGGGTAAAATTACGGATAAAAAATAAATTTTGAATTGTAATTGAATTTTTGAATTGTAATTTGTAATTGAAATTTTGAATTTGTATCCCTAATTTGAAGGATACAAATTATATTTTATCCCTAATTTGAAGGATAAAAATTATATTTTGATCCCTAATTTGAAGGATTAAAATTATATTTTATCCCTAATTTCAGGGATACATATATTATATTTTCATCCCTGATTTCAGTGGTAAACATTATATTTTATCCCTAATTTCAGGGATTAAAATTATATTTTTATCCCTAATTTATTTTATCCCCTACCGTACCGCACCTAACTCGACCGCGTCAATAAAAAGCTTATAATACTGAATAGTCAGAAATGCTTTTTGTAGGGTTATATTAGAACAAGAAAAGAACAAACGTGTTTTGATTATGCGAAATATTTGTGGTTAAGCTTTGTTTATAAAATAGATCGCTTCTATTGAAGACTGAAGAATTGAGTGACATTGACGTCTGAAACGTTGGTTATGGTGAGAGTTTGGCGTTATTGGAGCCAGAAATTATTTAAAATACCCGGATATGATATGAATTTTTAGTAGGATAGTCATGAGAAATTGGGATTTGGTACGAGAATTGAAGCTGAATTCAATTTAAAATCTATTATAGTTTAGTTTATTAAAAAATTCAACATAACATTCACATTGCAAAACTGAGTCAAGTTTGGGTTTTCAAATTTGATTCTTCTTTTTCATTCACATTTTCTTCGTTTTCAAGATTAGAGAGATATCATTCTATTTGGTATTTCATCTTGAAAGTTGAAAACTTACAAATTGCGCATAACACAATGTCTGAGGAAGTCATTATTTGTCATTTTACACATTGAAAGTCATTTTACACATTGTCTGAGGAAGTCATTATAATAGTCATCGGTTTTGTCTCGTTAGAAAGATGTCAATTCCGGGCAATTGTGAAGAAGCTTGTACATCGTCCGGAACGTCTCGTCTCGGTATCGTCCCGAAATTCCACCGCCACCTTAAGTTTAAAGTTAGTCTCGATATATTAAAGTGTCTCGATTTATTTAGTTGATCGGGACACAACTTTTCTGATTATCTCGTTTTGAATACAAGAGCACGAATCGCAGAATACGATGCGTGGTTATAGTATGTTGGTAACAACATAGCTTTTGGCTCATTCCAGAAGAGGGAACAGTTGTCCACTGTGTTAGAAGGAAGAGTGTGAATTGGTTATTTAAAACTATTTTTTAGAGGGCACGGATCAAGGTACCATATACGAAAATGGTGAGATCCTTTGTAGAATGTTGGGTAGAGAGTTATTTATGATAAGTTCAACCAATGTATGTTGTATTTTGAACTTGCACACCTCGCAGCTGTAGCCGTGTGACGTCACGCCTGTCGCAACATCAGGCAACGAGCGTTATCTTCACGGCATGCGCGTCATGTTCAGAGTATGCACGTCACGCTCACAGTACACACGTTATTTTCACAGCACACGCCTTATTTTCATAGCATACGCGTCATGTTCAATGCACACGTCACACTCACAAGACGTAACGCTCACTCACAGCTCATACGTCGCCAATGCTTCATGATAATTGATTCCATCTGACATAACCACACCGACTCAACACTCTAAATGTCACCACGCCAGCTCTTCCTGTCGGCTCAGCACCCCGGCTCTGCACCCCGGCTCAGCACCTCGGCTCTGCACCCCGGCTCAGCACCCGGCTCAGCACCCGGTTCAGCACCCCGACTCAGCAACCCAGCTCAGCACCCCGGCTCAGCACCCCGGCTCAGCACCCGGTTCAGCACCCCGGCTCAGCACCCGGTTCAGCACCCCAGATNTACTAGCTTTATATGTGAATAACTGTACTAGCCTTATGCTGTCTCTTATACACATCTAGATGTGTATAAGAGACAGCTTTAAAGGCGACGAGTTCGCTCCGACGAATATCACAGCGCTCAGCAACATCGAGTATATATATCGGTGGCAACATGTGCAGGGGAAAATTACGGATAAAAATTAAATGTTTATCCCTAATTTGAAGGATACCAATTATATTTTTATCCCTAATTTGAAGGATAAAAATTATATTTTGATCCATATTTCAAGGATAAAAATCATATTTTATCCCTAATTTCAGGGATGAACATTATATTTTTATCCCTAATTTCAGGGATAAAAATTATATATTTTTATCCATAATTTGAGGGATAAAAATTATATTTTTATCCCTAATTTCAGGGATAAAATTATATTTGTATCCCTAATTACTTTTAGCCCCTACCGCACTTAACTCGCCCGAGTCAATAAAAAGCTTATAATGCTGAATGGTCAGAAACGCTTTTTGTAGGGTTATATTAGAACATGAAGAGAACAAACATGTTTCGATTATGCGATATGCTTGTGGTTAAGCTTTGTTTATAAAATAGATCGTTTCTATTGAAGACTGAATTATTGAGTGACATTGAAGTCTGAAACGTTGGTTATGGTGAGTTTTGCGTTATTGAAGCCAGAGATTATTTAAAATACCCGGATATGATATAAATTTTTAGTAGGATAGTCATGCGAAATTGGGGTAGGGTACGAGAATTGAAGCTGAATTCAATTTAAAATCTATTATAGTTTACTTTATTAAAAAATTTAACATAACATTCACACTGCAAAACTGAGTCAAGTTTAGGTTTTCAAATTTGATTCTTCTCTTTCATTTACATTTTCTTCGTTTTCAAGATTAGAGAGATATCATTCTATTTGGTATATCATCTTGAAAATTGAAAACTTACAAATTGCGCATCACACAATGTCTGAGGAAGTCATTATTTGAATCTCGCATAATAGTCATCGGTTTGGTCTCGTTAGAAACATGTCAATTCCGGGCAATTGTGACGAAGCTTTTGTCTCGTCCGGAACGTCTCGTCTCGGTATCGTCCCGGAATTCCACCGCCACCTTAACACGTTGACTACGTATTGGTACACATGCGTACCACGAAATGTATTTCTCCAGGAGGTAGTGGTACATAATTCAGGTTGAATAAAATCGGCCAAATCCGAGAACAAAAAAGGCCAAAAAAGGCTGATAATTCAATGTATACTAGTTTATTTGTAGGTTCCGCTATAAAAATTCCGTTTATTTTCTTTTTGCAGTATTTAAAATTTAATTAGGAAGCATCCCTATCATAAATTTTAGCCGGCCAACACAACTGAGAAAAACTAAATCACGGAATTTGTCCGGAAAAAAATGACCGTCTGGCAACCCTGCTTTAAAAAAGTACAAAAAATGAAATAATAGTACAAGATGAAGCAATCGTAGTCAAAGTGTTAAGTTTAAAGTTGTCTCGATTTAGTCTCGATAAATTAAAGTGTCTCGATTTATTTAGTTGATCGGGACACAACTTTTCTGATTATCTCGTTTTGAATACAAGAGCACGAATCGCAGAATACGATG